TCCTTTTCTCCTTCTGTGAACATCTGGGAAAGAAGCATGTTCTGAGATACCCCCGTGGTGATTTCCCCTAAGTTACCTCATAAACACCCTTTTGCTGATCTGCCCCAAAAGTAGTTTTCCTATTTTTCACATTCAATCATCCCCTAGTCTAGAAGCCTTGGCCTGGAATCTTGGCTTATAGGTACTCCTTCAATACTCTTCCATACTCTTCCCCCTCACCTCCCCCGGTAGTTCTTGAAAATTGTTGAAGAGGCCAGAGGTTTGAGATGGAAGAATTAAGATGGACACCTTTCATTTCTGTGCCCCAAACCTGATCTGTGTTTGGAGACTCCAGCCAACCCTAGGAATATATTTTTTTGGTCTTCAAAGAAAATGTCCCATTTGAGTACTGAGCAATTGGGAAGAACCCAGGAAATAACTGTTTTAGGAGATGGTATAATAAAATAAGAGACAATAAATAAATGTGAAAATATATACAGCCAATCTGAAAGAAACTATTGGAAGACTGATCTTGTTTCTCAGCCTCTTCTGCTTCTATTCAGGCTTGGGGATCATTGACCTTTACTCACAGTGTCTGGAGATTGTAATCCATACTGGTAGAGATCTCAGTGAGCAGTAGTGATTTCCTAGGATGTAGTGTACCACCAGCCCTATGCCAATCTTTAGCTGTTCCCATCCAGCCTCTGCTCCTAGTTCTCTCTGGGCTTTTCCTAAGAACTATTCTATCATGGTATTCACTTACCATTTTGGTTTATTCTGTTTATAGTTATAGTTTGGGTTCCATATTAGAGTTACTAATCTTGCTGTCTTTTTAGGAATGACCTGGATCATCATCTAAAAGCTTTGTCTGTGCTATCATACTGTCTGTTGTATCATTCCAGCTATCTTGGTGCCTATGTTACGTGGTCTATCAGTCTAATAGTAGGTACTTATAGCTAATTGGATAGATACTACATGTAACTCAAGTTCTTAAGAATATTATTTATTTTTTAAAATGCACGTCTTATATATTTTCTAATTCTGAACACAAATCATCTGGCATTTTGATGGAATTACTTTAAATACATGTTTGATGAGAGATACCTAGCACATTTATAAATTAAGGCTTCCTATCTGGGAACAGGATGTTTTCATTTATCCAAGCCTGTTTTTATTTTAAGAAAATCTTATTTTCTTTCAGTAGACCCTGCTTTGTATTGATATTTCAAGAGCTTTTATTTCCTTTTTTTAGTACCATTTGGAGGTCATTTGTCTGGTCTGTGACGTATCAAATGCAAAAAATAAATTTCTTCTTTTGGCAATAATGGGGTTCTTGAACTTGAGACTACAATTCTCCTATGTATACTGCTGTGGAGCTAGGATAATAGGAGAGTGCCACTGTGCCAGGTTTTTATTGTTTGAGATTGATGAGCGGGAGATCTCTGTTAACTCTTTCCTCAGGCTGGCCTTTAACTACAACTTGCCTATCTTAGCCTCTCAAGTACCTAAGATTATAGGTGTAGCCTACAACACTGTGCTCTGGATTTCCTAGCTCCTGTCTTTACCCTCTGTTTCACCTTTTTCCTGCACATCTCATATCTTCCTTCTAGATGCCTTCAGAAGGTCATTTGTGTTTCCTGACCTTCACAAAGACCAAAGACTTTTCCTTTTCTGGCTCCTGCTGTATTTTTCCTCTTTATCACCCTAATTTTTAAACTATAAACCAAGGATCATCATCATGGCTTTTAAATCAAAGAAATTCAATAAAGAAAGGAAGTCTGAGAAAGTCTGGAAAGTGTAGGATCGATGGGTTATGGGGATCAGAGGCCAGAAGCAGGAGGCTTGTGCCAGGCTGCTCTGAGAGACTGGGTGCTCAGAAGTGGAGATGGCAGGAAGGGAGAAGCTTTTGAAAGAAAGAACAGCAGTTATACTGTTGTTTGACCATATTGAGGATCCAATGATGGTTATTATTGCTAATTTGGGACTTTGATCCAGAAGAACAGTTGCAATGGATCGGTACTGATAACTGCTCATGCTCTGACAGGGACAAATGTGGAAAGTTATCTATGGGACCAGCTCTCCCTGTTGTCTCTGCTTGCTCAGTGGAGCTTGTTCAGGGAGCAGCTTGAACTTCTCTGGTGTATGGGAGATTGTGTGGACGTGTCCAGTGGCACCTGTGGTAAGCTGAGGTGCTGTCAGGTATAGAACCACCACATAGAACATGCAAGTTATTTATCAAATATTCACATGGATTCTCAGGGAATAGGCTAAGATGTAGAACATCTTCTCTCCTAAGTTGTTTGTGAGCAGCTGTTTGCCATAGGACTGCTTACCCCCATAGGGGACCATCTTTTTCTCATCTGTACAAAGGCTCCAGATGGGCTAGTTGGGTCTGCATGGGCCTGGCTCTGGGCTGCTAGAGTGATGAGGACTGCATGGACCAGAGGGTAAAGGGCTAACAATTTCCAGAGAATCTATGCTGCCATCCACGTGGCTTCATTCCTTATGCTCACAAGCTGTCTGTAGCTGTGCCTGCAGGCCACAAATCCACATTCTAAGCAGGAAGAAGGGGAAGGGTAAAGGCGTGGCTTACTGGCTATATCTTTTTTTAGTCAGGAAAAGAAAGCCAGAACTAAGTCACAGAGCCAATTTTAGTTAGATCCAAAAGGTGTGGTTCGGAAAGATGTTAACAGACACATTAAAAAAAAGAAAGCCAGAGATCTTCTAGTGATTGATCTTGGAAAAAGAAATTAATCTGAGCAGGCTCCCACAAAACACAGAGTAGCAGGCATCCCCACATCTCAGCATTGGCATTGCAGGTGCAGTCCCTCTGTATTGAGTATTTTGGTACTTTTCTTATTTCTTCTTAGTAGCCCACATAAAACATATTATAACGAAGTCAACTTAAAAGCTAAATTGAGAATTTTCAGGGTCTTCTATGTAAGACAAGGACTTCTCTACAGAGCAGAGATACATCTATACCCATGTCCCTGGAAACCCTATTCAAAGCCCCTGGCCACACCCATAGGAATTGTCCCTCCTGGCCACCAGGCCCCAAAGCAGCTGGGATGTTTTCAGTTGTTTTCTTCATGAAGAAATTTGAGTTGATTCCCAAATGCATATTTAAGGATCTAAAATAGACTTTTGCCAATTAAATTGGGAGGGCCCAGGAAGACTTCAGTAGGACTTTGGTCTGTTTCTGTTTGAGGGCTCTCTGCCTCCAATATTGTTGCAGGCCAGCTTCTCCAGATGGCTCCAGATGTGTCTGGGCACAGCCAGGTTCCCCACTTCAAAGGAGACAGTAAGGCTGGATGGTGTCTTACTCTGAGTGCTTAGCTGCAAGCTGAGCTTAGAGCCCCTCATCTGGTCAATGAAGTCTTCTTGGACTGGTCCCTATCAAACCTCAGCCTCATGCCCAACAAGCCAAACAAAGGAATGTTTCTCCTTATTCCCTTTCCTTTGAACCCTAGGCCAGATTCCAGGTCTTTATCAGGTCCCAAGATAAGGTCCCAGATTGAGGGTCAGGCCTTGCAGACCCTGGCCACTGAATGAAGTGAGTTATAGTTGTCTTGGGTTGAACCCTTCACATGTGAACACCATGCTTAGTGTGTCTTCTCCATCCGGATCTTTGCCACTTTAAGCTTCTATGATTCACAGTAGTCATTCCCAGGGAAAACCTAAACAAGAGCTGGAAGCCTGCTGAGTCAGATCTCCTATCTGCCCCTCACTTCCATTGCTGCTTGTACTTAACGTTCTGACTGCTGGAAGGGTGAGGGCTTGCAGCTGTGTCCCAGCTCTGCGAGATGCCAAGTGTTGTCTCAGCACCTCATAACCTGTATTTGTCTGCCATAAACTTGGTGACCTCAACAACAGACATTCGCTTCTTATAGTTCTTGAGACTGGGAAGTCTAAAGAACAATGTACTGGCCAATTTTGCTTCTGGTAAAAATTCCCATAGGCTTTCAGAGGCCACTTTTCTTGTAGTGTGGTGGAGAGAGCCAAATCTCTGACCTCTTTTGTAATGATACTAATTCTATCACAAGAACCCCACTCTTGAGATCTTACCCAAACCCTAAAAGTCTCCATTTCCAAAAAATACATCACATTAGGAATATGGCTTCAACATATGAGTCGGGAGGAACACAAATACATTCAGTGTGTCTCACAGATATACTGAGTTTCAGCCATGTCTAGCCCTAAGCTGGCCACAGGGATGAGGGAAGGCCCAGGACTTACCTCAGGGGTAGGGGAGAGGGGTACCTAGGTGAACAGTGAAGCCACACTCTCCATGAGTTTGTCACGACACTTTGGATCCCTGTTCTCTTTCTTGTTCTCTGTGACCAATTGTCCCTCATTCCTCTTCATCAGTATATGCCTTTTCACTTCTCTTCTTTGGAAAGCCCCAGGTCACCATCCTTCAATGGGCAGCTGCACAGAGGGCTAAGTATGGCAGCAAAGATGGAGATACTCTGTTAGAAAAGGCATGGGATATTTGAATTGAAAAAGAGGCCCTGAGACAGTGCCGCCAGAGATGAGAGGGGCTGACAGGCCAATCACACCGGCCTCTCCCTCTAGATCTGTCTTCTCAGCATGTGTACTCACTTCTCTGGGCACACAGCGTATGTAATGAGCCAACCAAGACACATTCTGACACCCCACAGCCCACAGGAAAAGAACTCTGAAAGATTCTACTTTGTTTTCAGTGCTTTTATGGAAAAACAGGGTTGGGTTTTTTTTCCCCTTGCAAAAGATCACATTTTCCCCAATTGAAGGAAAATCAATTTCATTTTGTAATGTGTCTGACTCGTGAAGTTCCATTGCTGACCCAAGCTTGGCAGCGTCTCAGAGTCTAATCCTTGATCTCTTTCTTCTGAGCTGAGCAGTAGCCAGTTCTTCCCTGAGCTGAACCAGGGCCATTTATTTTCATCTCTAAATAAGGAGTGAATTTGATCTAATAATGAAATCCAGAGAGATCTAAAGATGATGCATTAATCTTTGATTTTCCTTATTTTATCACAAAGAAAACTGCTGCAGATGGAAAAAGACAGGAGATCATCGTTCTAGATTCCAAGAGGAGCAATGCCATCAATATTGGCCTGACAGTCTTGCCCCCTCCAAGAACAATTAAGATAGCTATTTTGAATTTTGATGAATATGCCTTAAACAAAGAAGGAATTGAGGTAAGAGAAGCTCTGTCAAGCATTATTTGTATTGTCTAATAATAACAAGTTAAAATTTACATGATTGCCTCCAGTACAATTTCCAGTATTGCCTTTTTTTACTTTATTAACCAGACTCAGAATAATGTTAATAGTTTTCTTACATGTTTCTTCGGGAGTAAGGGGTAGAGATGAGCCTCACTTTGCCTGTGAGAATCCTCACTGCCTAATTTATTTATGGATCTCTCTCTGACCCCATGTGGCCTATCTCCAAGTAGAAAAAAGACTGCTACAACCTGCTTGCAAGAGTGTTGGGGTCTTTCTTCACAGCATTTCAAGTCAAATATATTTTTTTAAAAATTGTAAATGTGGGGTTTCAATATGCTTTTCCTTCCATGAAAAGAACTCTGTTCCTCTCCTGGGCACTTGGAATATGGACAGCCATGTCTTAGTTGATAATCTGTAGAACCGAGTCAATGGAGGCTATATTACTGGTGGACCTGAATGTCAAAAGCAGGGAGATGTTGGGTGATGTGGCTATTACTGTGCAGTAGACAGTCCAGCTGGAGCCACACCTTAGCTTATTGTGCCAACGTTCTTATTCTTCTATCTGGCTTTACCCTCTTTTCACCATGGACTGGTGCCAGTTGATGCAGGTGAGATCTCTTATTCTAATTATGGGAGATGAATAACAGAGGTACTTGCCAGCTCACGCATTCCTGAGGACCCACTGGATATTAGTGAAGAATCTTGCCATGCTGCTTTGTGACATTGGGTGACATTCAACCCATCCTATTAGAAAGGAACCTCGGACTTCTTAAAAAGCCTGTGATTGGAGCCATTTACTCAGTCTTAGTTGAAATTTTTGAGCATTCAGGAAAGACTGACTCTAGAGCAGGAGAGCAAGACTGTGCCAGAAAGGTTATAAGTGAGGTAGCATGCCTACCCTAGGTGTGCAATGCAGTAGGGGCCGGAGTTGGATCTCAGGAAGCCAGATGTGCTTTGTGCTTTGTAAAGAAAAGTCTACAAGAAAAATTGTTCATGGGGATTTGTACTAAGTTCAATGGTATCCCCTCATATCCATTCCCACCCAGCATGTGACCTTACTCGGAAGTAGGCTCTTATAGTTTAAGCAAGTTAAGGTCAAACTGAAATAGAATGGGCTATAAATCTGATGAGTGATAAAATACAATAAGAAGGATATTTGGTCACAGACACAGAGAAGGGAATGTCACTTGAATTTAGAGAACACACAGGGAGTCTCAAAGAATAGAATGCCTTGTGACGACATAGGCAGAAATTAGAGCAATGTGTTTACAAGCCAAGGAATGTCAAGGATTAAGGGCAAGCACCAGAAGCTAAAAAAAGGGCAAGAAACAATTCTCCATTCGAGCATTTGGAGAGAACATGGCCCTGCTAAGCCCTTGATTTTGGACTTTTAGCTTCTAACACTGAGAGAAAATGAATTTGTATTGTTCTAAGCTACCCAGCCTGTGGCACATTGTTATGGCAGCCCTATGCAAGGTCCAAGCAGTTTGACTTTGAGGATCATGCCTATCCTATTCTAGGAAGAGGACTGGAAAGAATGAGCATTTTTTCCCAGCTAAAAGGAAGTAGTACTGTGAGTCCTGGAGTCAGGCAGGCAGCATATCCAAGTGGGCATGTGGGAAGGCAGGGTAAGAGACAGCAGAGAGAGATAAGGAGAGGCATTGAGGCAGGTGTGAAGCAGTAGAGAGGAGAAGGCCAGACCTCTGTGTGAGGAATCCCCACAGGTCCTCACAGGCAAGAGAGAAGAGCAGTGCCTGATATTGGATGCTCATAGATGAAGTATGATACTTAGGAAGTATCTTTCATGAAGGAGAAATAAGGTGTGGACTGGGTGCACTCTCAGGCCGTCCTATTTATACAACAGGTCCTTTAGAGATGGCAAAAAACAGATTCCCACATAAGGAAGCTTCAAATACAGTCAGAGCCAACCACACTGAAGATCAAAATAACAACTTCTTCTTTTAAAAATATTTCCCATTCCCATCTAGAGGACTTGAAAACCCATCAGGAGTTTTTTGTTTGTGCTTTTTTCGTGCTTCTGTGCTTTTCTGAAGAATACTTCTCCTTGGGTAAGAGAAGTTTCAGGCTCAATAAGTTACTTAGATTTTAAAATGAACCCTTTTTTTTCTTTTTCCTTATCTACCTGGCTTTCAGTTAAGCACCATTTTGATTAGGAAAGAATAATGATAGTTACAGTAATGCCAATGTGTAAAGGAATGAACACAGCACTACACCTGACTTTTATAAGTCTCCTATTGTGGGCCAGGCACCAGGTAGGAGCCTTCCTATCAATGAGTATGAGGTACATCCTCACAAGGCTTAAGGTCCTTATCTTAAAGATGAAGGTGAGTCCCAACATTCAATCTGTCAGTTTCACAGGCCCAGGGGAGGTAGAGTATGTGAGCTCCAGAGCCTGAGCCCACAGTATGAGCCTGGGGGTGGCTGGCCCAGGAACATACCGCAGGCCTGGGATATTTCTTCCCTGAAAATGAGAGATATAGCCACCCAGGAGGCAACATGGTGCACCTCATAATGCTGCCTACAGGAGTTCTGCCTGGGAGTAGTTGAGACATGAAACATTTGAAGTGAGAGGACTCAGCCACAGAATATACTAGTAACCCTCTAGCAATATTGTAATGTGTCAGAAGTCATCAATAAACACATAGTCACAATAGCATTTGGAATTACAACATTTTTATCAGTTTCCTTCCAAAGCAGTTCCATAAACTGAACACTATGGACATGTGCGGCTTTATCCTCTTTGTTGTAGGTTAGTCCTGTGGGCCACAGGATATACAGGAGCATCCATGACCGCTGCCCACTGCATACTAGAAACATCTACCCTCCCTAACTTAGCCCAAAGCCAAAAATGTCTCTAAGACATTGTTAAGCCTCCTGTGGAGGTGAAAGCAATCTGTCTGAGGATCCTTGATCTATAAGCTGCTTGCAAGAAGTCAGGAATTATATACCCCACAACACTTCTCATGCATGACTGGGAAGTCTCTTGTGAAATGGCCCTCATAGAGAATATGGGATCTAGTACCCTGATCATCGACTAGCTCTGGCCATTGATTGCTGGGACTGTGGACATAGAAGACCTAGATCTATGTTCTGGGCAGTGCACCAGGCTTGTTTGGTAAGTCTTGCTGTACAAGAGTTAAATTGAGACAGAGAAGAGATGGAAGTTGTGAACTTGCAGATTTGCTAATGAGATTTCCAGCTAATGGCCAAACAGCCTTCAGCCATCTGCTTCTTGGATACATGTACCCTGGCATGGCACCACAGCATAATAGGGCCATTAGAAAGCTCTGTGTACCTAAATGTAATTAGGATGTATTAAAGGACATCCTGCAGCTTTGCTTAGCAACCAGTGGTATGCATCTGGGATTATCATGCAACCCTAAGGGAGTAGTTAACTTCATTAACAAAAAGAAAAGTATTAAACTTGAGGAAATTGTTTTAGAGTCATCTCTAAAGAATACAAATCATGTTTTCCCAGGTAAAATGTCATCAAATTATCATAAATGGATGTACAAAGAGGTTTGTTTTTCCTTTCCCATTCTTAGAATATGGTCTCCACAAAGGGTGGCGCAATCGAATCGTCTCAAATGGCATTTTAAATAGCTCAGTTTGAGTGTCATGACTGTCAGCATCTTGGAAACAGAGGTTTCCTTTGGCTATTCATGCAGAACTATTTTCTGAGTAGTTAGTGTTGCACAAGAACTATCTGCAGGTACTTGAGTAGATGCTAGACACATGCAGGTGAGCCTGCCCATGCAGAGGCTCAAAGAACCATAGAACTAGAATATGCTGAAGATTCACAGACCCTGCTGTTAATTGTGCATATCTAGTTTAATCCTTGTCAACTCTGGGACTGGTGTTAGGAGAAGAGGAACAATCTGCTTTGTTGTTAAACCTAGCATCCAGTATTTTATCTGTATGTTTGAAACAATAATTTCCACGACAGTGTACTTCAAAGAGTAGAAAGAGCATACTATCAAGATGATTTCAGAAGTTTTTTTTTCAGAAGAATACTATTTTCTCATGAGAATATGCAAGTTGTATATAAACTCCGCTCAGCCCTGAATTTTCCAACTTTCTGATGTTGTCACCCAAATCCTTGTGGTATGTTCTTACCCAAATTGTACCCAACGGTTCTGTTCAAAATCACCAGGCAAAATAATTACTTCTTATGGTATCATATGTAGGTAAGTGAAATGGTCAGATCAATTGCATTTGGGTCCATGAAAATGGATATTTTTTGTATTTTCCCTGAAATATGCATTTCATATATAAAAACCAATTATGTTTAGAGCAAATAGACATTGTCTGGAAGAAAGTTAAAAGCTGAGGTTGCCACATTTAGTATTATTTGATGTTTCTTTTTCTCTAAAACTAAATGGTGATCATAAAATCATCAATAAACCTGATGTAGTAGAAAAGTAAGTTTAAATTTCACCCAATATTTATCCCATTATCATTTGTTTATGGGAGAAAGAGCATGAACTCACAGGAGGTGGTTTTGACCTGCTCTTCTACTGTCTTAAGGCTATTTTTATTGTCAGTGATGTGTAAAAAATAATAAAGTAGCAGATGGCAACCTTATAAATCTCCAACAGTGAACAAATGGTTTAAATTAGAGAGAAAAAAGTAAAACAGATTACTTTCTGAAAAGAACAAAGCAACAAAAAAATCATTGCAAGACAATGCTTTCTGTGGGTCAAAAATGGTGTCAGCAAGTTTTGTTTTGGAATTCTTGTCATACCTAGAGCAATATAAAGATTACAGAAATGAAAACACAAATTTGAGTTAAATTTTTATAACTAGCTGAGTTCAAGTCATGGATGTTTTAAAAGACGTAGTATCTGTCTGACTTGCTCATTTTTTAATCTCCTCTGTCTGGACAGAGGCGCAAGAACAAGGCAGTCAAAAAGCAAGATCTCTTAACTGATGCTCAAATTCTACCCAGATAGTCTCAGTTTGGAGCCAAGATGAAGAGCAAGTTAGAAGGGAATCTATCTGATGTGTTACTTTTTTACTGTCACTCTGACTGCAGCTCTGAATACACATCTTCAGAGCAATTGTATATTACTGGCTTCTGATAAATGAGAGGGCCTTACATGTTAAGACTTACCAAACTGAAGAATACTTCTCATTACTAGAGTTTAATTTTTTTTCTAGTGAAATCATATGATTCTTCTGAAGCTATTATTTTTCAAATTCATTGTGATTAGAACTATTGCCTTACCATATGACTTTTAGAATCAACTTTTCAATATCTACAAATAATTCTTGCTAGTCTTTTGGTTGGAATTAAATCTATAGATAAATCTGGGGGAAAATTAACATCTTGACTGTGAGTCTCAATCCATGAACATGTTTTGTCTCTCCATTTATTTGGGCCTTTGATTTCTTTCATCAGCATTTTCTAATTTCATTACACAGATCCTATATTTTACTTATTAGATTTATCAGCTATATAACTTCATTTAAATAACTTTAAACAATTTTTGTCATTGTAAGAAAATGCTTTTTGTGGTTTAAAAATGGTATTGCTAAGTTTTGTTGTGAAATTCTTGTCATTCCTAGAGCAATATGAGGAATAAGGAAATGAAAACAAAAATTCGAGTTAAGTTTTTATAACTAGATGTACTTCTGTATAATTGCCTTATGCAACATTATTGAACTCACGATTTTAGAAACTTTTCTGGTAATTCTTGATAGTTTTCTATGTCCATGGTCATGTCATCTGCAAATAAGAACAATTTTATCTTTCTAATTCTTTGGCTTTTATCTTTGTGTGTACTTGTTTAGACATTCTGTACAATGGTAAGTGGGAATGATAAGAGTAGACAAGAGAATAGAAGAATGTTTATCTTTTTAAAAATGTAATCCCTAACGACTTTGACCCTATAAGAATCATCTTTCTGGTGTCTTTTTTCTCTGCCTCCAACAATTAATTTTTATTAGAAACAAAAGCAAAATAACACATACTTTTCTTTTTCAAATTGGTATTGCTCTTTTAAATACAATTGTATTTTTCCTCAATCAGACTTGAGTTTAATATTAAAATATTGTCATTTCTAAGGTTCATAGCATAGCTTAACAATTTAACTTATACTTCACAAACAAAAGTGATTAGGAGTTATTTGTAAAAGAGTTATTTTGTACTCTTTTAATCCATGAGTTGTATTATAAAGTATATATTCTTGACATATTTCACATTATTTCCTAGGAAACAGGGAGTCTGGTTCTCTGGCCTTCTATCTTATTTTTCTTCTTTCTTTCACCTTCCACCCTTCTTGCCTAAAATGTTTTTCATGTTCATGATCCAAACAGTTCAGGGAAAGTTCCTTAGCATATATTTGGTTGTGAAAATATAATATCTGTATATGATTAAAAATAGAATATTCCTATTAACTGGAAAATTGTAATAGGAATTTGAAAGCATTGAAATGTAGACAATGACTCATCACTAACTAATCAGAACTGTTATATCACCCCATCTTTCCAGAAAATTCTAACAATGATTCCCACTGAAGAGGAGAAACAGAAAATCCAGGAAGCTCAGCTGGCTAACCCTGAGGTTCCCTTGGGCAGTGCAGAGCAATTCCTGCTCATGCTCTCCTCCATCAGTGAGCTCTCAGCTCGGCTCCAGCTCTGGGCATTTAAAATGGATTATGAAACCACAGAAAAGGTAAGGACTTTGCACTAGATGCAAGTATTCAGAAATCTAGTGGTTTTTGTAAATTAATGCCTATTAAATGAACATAAGCTAATGGAGTATTGTTCTAAGCACAGGTTCAGAGGGAAAGTTGATGATATTGGGTTCCATCAGTAACACTGGATGATGGGAGCTACCTGTACTGAATTATCAGTCTTCCAATAATGGGTTATTCTGAAGTGCCTGCCTGGCATCAGATTCAGATGCCTAGTGCATTCCAAATTAATTAGTTTTAAAAATTGCAAAAATTAAACCTGATTCTTATTGTAGGAAATTTGGGCAATTCAGGAAAGCACAATATAGAAACTTTCTTGTTATCTTTCTATCTGATGATAATCATCTAAGCTGCCATTAACAATAGCAGGTAGCAGGACCTTGGGCACCTTTTAGGAGAACATGCTCAGTAGAAAGAGGAAAACAAAGCAGATTGCAAACAACTAAGAAGAGACCAAAAGAAAAGAGAAAGTCTTAGGAAGCCCTTCTTAAGTAGGAAGCAGAAGGCCAGATATCCATCTTTCCTAGACCACCAGCAGAGTACATTTTTAGGCTGAGTGGGAAGCAGTGGAGAAATGGCAGTTAAGTCCAGGAGAGATTAGTTACATGGACTTGCTGAGAGAAGACAGGCTCAGAAGCCCTGCTGAAAAAAATTATGAGTCTCCATCTCTTAGCAAAAGATGAATACCATATCCAAAACTCTAAAATCTACATATTCAAATCCAACACTTCTTGCTTACAAGTGGAAAAATTCCACTCCTAACCTCATGTGACAAATTACAGTCACAATACACACACACACACACACACACACACACACACACACACACACACAACAAAAAGCCAGGTGTCAGTGGTTCACATTTGTAATCCTAGCTATTCAGAGGCTGAGAAATGAGGATCATGGTTTGAAGCCAGTGGATCAGAAAAGTCCATGAGACTCTTATCTCCAATTAACTGCATATCCCTCTCCCCACTCCCCGGCCCCCCCCCCAAAAAAAACCCTGGAAGTAGCACTGTAGCCTGTGCCTCAAGTGGTGGAGCTATAGCCTTGAGGGAAAAGAAAATTCAGGGAAACACCCAGGCCCTGAGATCAAGCCCCATAACTGGCACAAAAACAAAACAAAACACAGTACGTGCATTTAAAATATTCTATAAAATTGCTTTCAGTGTTTCATACCAAGGAGAAATGTTCATCATGGGAGGTTGACCTGTGCTATGGAGAAATGTTATTATTTATTTCATAAAAATTTTTAAAAAGAGAGCCCAAATGTACCTTTGTTTTCATCTCCTATCTTTTTTTTTTTAACTGAAAGGAAGTAGCAGAACCACTTTTGGACCTGAAAGAAGGAATAGACCAGTTGGAGCACAATCAAACTCTGGGCTATATCCTATCTACGCTCCTAGCCATTGGGAACTTTCTAAATGGAACTAATGTAAGTCTTCTCCATCCTATATCTTCCTGCCTTGTCAGAAAACCCATGCCATTTGCTGCTAGAGGATGTACTTCTGATTCCCCAAAGTAGAACAACCAACTTTTATGCCTTCTTGTTGAAAATCTGAAGAAATTTTGGCCTTGAAATATTAAGGGTCATTAAAAAAAATCTTAACCTTGCTATAAATGAGGACACTTAGCAAAATAAGCATAAGCTTCTTCATAAGATATAGCTACTCCTGAAACTCATATTGGAATTTTCATCTACTTTATTTTTTTCCCTCCTGAGCTTATTTATCTGGATTTTTTTTAAAAGAACAACTTATTGTCATTGCTATTGGTCTGGCTCTGGCGAGAGTAACGGACCTATGTGTAGCAGGGCCAGAAGAGGAAGAAAGTATTGATATTCAGATATCAAAGACCCAGTCTTTCAGGATGTGGTCTCAGGTGTGGCTCAGGGATGTGGCGGGAAAGGGCTGGAGTCTCATCTTCATTCCTAGTATGCCTGGTTCATGTGCTGTCAGTGAAAGAGGATGGAGCATGTGATACAAGAGTTTCAGTCCCAGAGAAACTAAGTATTGGGCTGTTGCAGCTGGGCATTGATACTGACTGTTGGTGCTATTCCAAGAGCCTATAGGAAGCTTATTTTTCTCATTTTTTATGTCATCAAACAGGCCAAAGCGTTTGAGTTAAGCTACCTCGAGAAGGTTCCAGAAGTCAAAGACACAGTGCACAAGCAGTCGCTTCTCCACCATGTATGCTCCATGGTGGTAGAAAACTTTCCAGACAGCTCTGATCTGTACACAGAGATTGGAGCCATCACCAGGTCAGCCAAGGTACGTCCTTGACTAGAGAGCAACCGGCCTTGCCTTGGCCTTTACTGTTGGATCTTCCTGAGAATCATCTCCGCAGCACACTTCTCTATTAAGAAAGACATTCAGTGCTGTCTGTGTTCCCTTCTCTGGAGTTTGTGACTATGATTCGCTTCATGCCATTTCTAATGAGCTTTTAAGATCTTTTTCCTATCACTCGTTCTTGGTCAGATTCTTTCCTACTGAGGTATGTAAGACAAGCCTGACATCCAAGTTTTCACTCCTGCATCTTCTTTTGAGAGTGTCGAGTCTCCAAAATATTACAACTATGCAGTCTGTTTTAGGTGGGCAAATAGGTCAGCAAAATCCCACCTGGCTCCTTCTGGAATGTCCCTAGGTCATACAGTAAAGCGTGGAGCCAGGGAAGAGGATAGGCCTGCCCTGCTGCCCAAAGTTAGGACATCCCAATGATCTTATGCACAGGGAATGTTTTTATAGGGCTGTAAACAGTATATAGCATTGGCCTCTCAGCTAAAGTGAGTACAGAGTTTTTATCTTCGTGAACATATGGTTTATTAGAAAAGAGACAGTAACAATCTGTGGCCACATAGCTGCCTCTTGTGCAAGAGGATCTTTGAGACAGAACTGGGAGAAATGAAGGTTGTGGAAGGATACCCTTCAATAGGGCACAGTAGCTAGGCTTACATGGAGGAATCTTCTGGAAACACATGTATGGATCTGTGGAATGGAAGCTAAAAGTGCTGGAATACACTGGAGTCCAATACGAGACAAAGGGATAATAGAGGGAAGAGTGAGCAAGGGGTAGATTCTGGCATCAAGGGTTTCCTTGCTGGCTCTCTTACTCTTCTAGCCTGATGGTCTTCTTAACTGAAGTGGAAAAAAGTGTAGCCAGCAGCTCCCCAGCTCTGAGAGCTGACAAAAGGTTTCTCAGAACGGAGTCCTCTATTAAACAGGCACTTATGCCGTCTCATTCTCTGCCATGCACTGTTCTATGGTCATTACAAATATTCATATTCAGTGTCTTAACCAAGACAGAAAGACTTTAAGTGACCCAGCAGAGCTCTCCCCAGTTGCTGCTTCAACTTCCTCAGGAGCATCTCCTCAGAAGAGGTTTTCTGTGGTGGTCTTGTTTGTTTAGGGGTTGGTCTTGGGGCTTAAAATTCAGAGCCTCTCCCTTTGACGCAGCTTTCCTGAAAGCTCACGGCTGGAAACTCTTCTAGTCTGGCATTTTTCTGGTTAATTGAAGATGGAGTCTTCAATGGTTTTCTTCTCATGTATAATCCTTCAGTTATACCCAGGGACTTCCCCCAACTATTTGGCTGTAACCAAATAGCCTTGACCTAGGAGTCTTGTTGTTATAGCTAATCACAGTGGCTGCCCTCGCCCTACCCCTCTCCAGTATCAGAGCTTTCCCCAAAGCTGAGTGGATGATTAGGTGACATTTAAATTATAGTGACATACCTTTTCTTGCCTAACAGCTGCCCAACAATACACAAGCCAAATCTGCTGCTAGCCCCTTCACACTAATTTTGGCAGTTACCAAAGATCACTGCAGACCTGATTCATGTGACTTACAACAGGAGGCCACAATTCATTCCCAGAGCCTTTTAGGCTCCACAGCACAAGGAAATACAGGCCCTGCCCTCTCCTTCCTGGCTCCATGGAATCCACTGTGTCTTAGGGTTTTCTTCCTAAGGGATGCCAGAAATCCTCTTAGACATCTGCCTTCATTGACTTGATCCCCTCTCTTGTCCTTCTGAGGGTGGGCTAGTAGTCAGAAATCATACCAGCAATTCCCTTCTAAGTGTTTTTTAGGCCTTGCTTACTACATCCATTGGCACCTTGACAGTTGCAGCTCACCTCCACATCCTGCTGCTCCTCCAACTTCTGTCTGTGGCCCTCCTTCCCTTTCCAACCATTGCTCACTCCTTATCTTCCTCAATTCCTCCCTTCAGCCTACCTGCTTGCTTATCTGATTATTTCTCTCTTACTTTCCCTCTCAATTTCTTTTTCATCTCCTCCTATTAAATGTGATCAAGTATATTTTTCAGAACTAAGTAATGCTTTGATTCATGTAATTTCAAGCCTAGGAATTTTTAAAAAGCATTACCTTAGAAAGTCTTATCACAGTCCATTTCTGTTGATCTAAACTACTTACATGCTCTGTCATCTATTCTTTGTATGTATGGCTTTTATTTTCTGTCAAGGTCCTATGCCCTATGACCAATACAGGTCTGGTGAGTGCTGTGTGATCCCCAGTTTATATGAGGAAGTTCCTTAAGAGCTGAATTTGGTTGCATTTCATGTTTGTCTTTGCATGCTCACTGCCTGGTATGGGTGTATACTAGTTCCTCCATGGTGATTAGTTGAATGTGTGAGTGGTGAGTAGATAAAATAATTTGATACTCAAATTGTAAAGGAGATCAGAAAGAGAATCTAGTTGCCTGGCATAATCAAATCTGACCAGGGTGAGTTGTTTAGCCTTCTACAGTATTATCCTTCTAAAATATTCCAGAAGAATAAGAGTGTTCTGAAAACTTTTATGAGACATCTACTGAGTTCATCTTGTACTAGGTTTCTTCATTTCATGTTTTAATTTACAGTTCCCAAAGACTTGCATAACATTTCTTTCCAAATAAGGCAGGGAAAGGTGATTCTGTCTCTGGGTTCATTTGGAGAACAGTTTATCACTGAATAAGTTGATGTTGTGATAATGACAAATACTCATGTGAATAATTTTTAGGCTATGAGTATGTTTGTATTTCAAGAGGCAGATTTGGTTTTGATGTTTGTTTCTTCCTGGAGGCACTTTGTTCTCCTGATTTCGGTTGGTGTCCAGTTGTTTCAGTGCACTTGCAGTGTTCTCTCTCATTTTCAGGTTGACTTTGATCAACTTCAGGATAATTTATGTCAGATGGAGAAAAGATGCAAAGCTTCATGGGATCACCTCAAGGCAATTGCAAAACATGAAATGAAACCAGTTTTAAAACAACGGATGTCAGAGTTCCTCAAAGACTGTGCAGAACGAATTATCATTTTAAAGATTGTCCATAGGAGGATAATTAACAGGTAAGTGTATTAAACTGATAGAAAGATCTATATTCTTGGAAATATTCTGCAAATAAGGATCTGTAGGTCTATTACAATTGTACTTTCTCCATTTAGTAAGTGTACCTATGCTATAGATGCTGACTGTTTCATCGATATTTACATTTTTCTTACAAAATAATATAATACAATTGAATCTTGAAGTTGGAAGGAATGTTAGACATCATTTGATGAAAAAATAATCCCATTGGACAAGGAATTGTATGTATAAGATCTCTGACAAACCTAAATGTTTCTGCAGCTGCTTGAGCAGTGTCACCTACAGAGAGTTTCTCCTTTGCAAGGCAGCTATAGTTGTTAGAAAAGTTCTTCCTTGCTGGGGCCAGTAGTTCATGCCTGTAATCCTAGGAGGTCTGGATCTGAGGATCCTGATTCAAAGCCAGCTTGAGCAGGAGAGTCTGTCAGACTCTTATCTCCAATTAACCACCAGGAAATTGGAAATGGCATTGTGGCTCAAAGTGGTACAGCACTAGCCTTGAGTGAAAAAGCTCAGGGACAGTACCCAAGTCTTGAGTTCAAGCCCCATGACCGACAAAAATAGTTCTTCCTTTATTTGGCCTTCAGTCTGCCCTCTGAGAACTTTCCAGTGGTGGATTCTCTGGCAGCTGCTCCATACGTCAGGTGCCTGAGTAAGGGCTGGGCTCCGCTGCAAGGACCCTCCTCTACACCAGCCTTCCTCAGAGTTACACTAGAGAAATATCAGTGGGGGATCAGTCCTTCCTCTACTCACAAGGAGGCTGACTGGGGTCTAGCATGGCTCTGTGGCTGTCCAAGGCTCTTCCTTTAGTAAGTGTTGGCAGCCAGGACTTCAACCCAAGTGTTGTATCTTCCTAGGCCCCAGGGTGTTTCCTGACATGAGCCACCACTTTCTTCTCCTTTGCTTTGTCACAGAATATTGATGTAGGGACACTTTCCTCCCATCCCTCTCTCCTCCTCTTGTCTCTCTTTCTCTCCTTTCATTTTCTGTAAACTGCATCAGGCTTTCTAAAACCTGATTCTCTCTTTTTTTAAAATAAGTTTTTTATTGTGAAAATACTGTACAGAGGGGTTACAATTACATGAGCAAGGTAATGGGTACATTTCTTATCAAGCATTGTTGCTTCCTCCTTTGTTTTTCCCTTACCATCCCTTCTACCTCAACTATACTTGCCTCCTCCCAACCCTCCCACCCCCAAATTATGATGGTTCTTACAAGAACAGAAGTCTTTCTGGGGTTGCTAGTTTATAATCATGACTTGAGCTTGGACATCCTGAACTCAGAGTGAGCTAGGCAGAGAGGACATAGAGGATAAAATAGGTAGGCTGGGTCAAAATACCATGGGTGGGTGACCTCTATTCGCTTCAAAGCCTCTTCCATTCACCATACTTCCCCCCTTTTCCCCGCCTAAATTGTAAAGTTCATTTTTCAATATAGCGTCTTGTACATCTCATTGTTACAATGGGTCCACCTGTATCCCTATTTAAACAATTTATTTTTTCCCTTCCCCAAATTATACCAACATCAAACACAGTGAAAACAGGGTAAAACTTGATTCTCTTGTCTGCACATGATACCCCCTCCTCCCAGCTTTTATCATTTGCTGCTTCAGTCATCGTAATTCCTTAGGCTTGACACCGTCTGGTGAGAAAAGAAGAGTCGTATTAAGATTTTGGCTAGGATAGGAATAAGGAACTCAATTTCCCCAGCAAGTTGATAGCCAGCTATTAATCAGGACTTGTAGAATTTAGTTGTTTAGCCATGAACTATTTTAATTACATATACTTTATCTAGACCTTTTGTTTTCTCTCTGGATAGGAACATTTTATGAGGTTTTTTTTTTTTTTTTTTTTTTTTTTTTTACCCAATGTCGTACTAAAATTAAAGTACACTCAACATGGCTAAAAAGGGGAGGCGAAGAATGTGAGCTTTCATGCTTTGTATGATGAGATTAATTCCCAACTTTAAAAAAATCTACAAAAATAAATAATTTCCTTTTCGAGGTCATGAAACTAGAACACTTTTATGTAGAATTATGAAGCTATTGTGCCTGATTTTCTTTTAATCTAGACAGTTAAAAACTCATTTTGCTCATAAAGCTATTTGTTAAGATATAGTGCATTTGCTCAGATTATTCCATCCAAGCTGGTCACTTGCTGATGGTTGGTCTTGCCTTACCAAATTTCTTATGTGCTTATTATTGGCCATCCCACTGGAGATCACCAGGCTGGGCCAGAAATTCACTATAGCTATGATTGTCTGTAACAGGTGTATGGCAAATGTGAGTACAATGTAGTGGCCACCCCTAAAGTATATAACCTTGTGTAAAAAGGAAATCTCTAGCAAGATGTGTGTGTGTGTGTGTGTGTGTGTGTGTGTGTGTGTGTGTGATTACAGCAGGAAGACATTGTTGAAATACAGATGAAAGATAGTTAGAGAGCTCCATTGCCTTATTTCACTTTTCTGCTCTTCTTCCTGGCAGAATTCCACTGGAGCTTTGCACCTTTTCTATTGGGAAAATAAGACTCAGAAAGAGTTGTAAGACCTTGTTTGGGGCCCTATAGCTTGTAACTAGTGTACTTGTCTTAGACATGCATCTCAGCTTAAATTTAAGACTTTAGAAAATTATAAGTAGTTTAACCATTACCTCAGGCAACACCTGTTTTTCAAAACTATTGCTTGACTCAGAAAATCTTGTTTTCCTTGTTGGACCTCTGTACTAGCCTTTTTCCTGCTGCTCTAATCGCCTGACTCATTCTGTGGATGTGTAAACTTGCTCTTCCATCCCTGTAGATAACTATGTTACTCTGCAAAAGGCACTTGGAAAAATGCAGCAGTGAAAGGAGAGGGCAAAAGCTTCCTTAGGAAACACAGTGAACTGAGAAGAGGGATTAAGTATCCTAAGCAGGCAGAAGACAAGCGCACAGACTGGCATCCCATTTCCTGAAGTCTGCCCTCCCCACTTGAGGCCAAACACCCCACTCAGTGATACACTGCAGTGAATAAGCCAGTGATGGAACAAATCAAAGATGTTTGACTGATGCCTGGGGGTAGCCATGATGGGGGCCAACCCCACTATGACCATATGACCTTTATGTCATATACTCTAGAAGAAACCAAGTCAACAAAGTCCCTGAAATATTTACTCCCTCAAAGCCCAGCCTTCTGAAAGCATGTCTTATACTTCCCTTTATAAATGCATATTTAGATTTTCTTTTCCTGATGTGAATTTCCCTAGCTTGTTGTTACATCATTGTTTGTGAAATGCATGCTTGGGTCACTTTTTTAATTTATTTATTTTTTAATTGTTATTGTAAACATGATGTACAGAGGGGTTACATTTGCACAAGTCAGGTAATGAGTACATTTCTTTTTGAACAGTATCACCTTTTCCCTCATTTTCTCCCAGGTTTTCCCTCTTGACTCTCCCTGCCCTCACCCAAGTTGTATAGTTCATTTTCAACATAATTAGTAAAGGTCTTCTCCCATTCTGTGGGCTTCCTATTTATCTTGCTAGCTATATCCTTTGCCATGCAGAAACTCTTGAGTTTGATGCAATCCCATTGATCCAGTCTTTCTGGATCTTTACTTAGGAAGTTTTGACTTGTGCCAAGGAGTCCTAGTGTTTCCCCTATCCCTTCCTGCAATATTTTTGAGGTATCTGGTCATACATGGTCTTTGATCCATTTAGAAATGCTTCTGGTGCAGGGTGATATAAGGTTTCAGTTTCCTGCATCTGTACAGCCAGTTCTGCCAGCACCATTTGTTAAAGAGGCTGTTTTTCTTCCATTTTATGCTTCCATCAGAAAGAATTACATTGCACCATTTGTAAGGAAATGGAAAGACTTGGAAAAAACTTGTACTAAGGAAAGTAAGTCAGACCCAAAGAAACACGGTTTCCCTCGTTTGTAATTATTAGAATGCACCTATAAACCTACAAGTAAATGTGATAGTAAAAGAGAAATAATTACTCTTGGACATGATTAATTAAGCAGCACTCTAAACATTCATACAGTGGGACTAAAGGAGGATATTCTCAGGAGAGGATCACAAGAGCTCCATAACTATGTACATATAACTATATAAAATGATGCTTATCAAAATGAACTATAAGAAATGGAACGAGGGTTTTTTTTTTAAATTGTACTGTTTATAGTTCTTTTTTTTTTTGCTTATTCCCTTTTGTTGAGGCATTTGATTTCCGTAGCCTTTGTCTTGTATGTAAGTCTATCTGGTTTGGGATGGGGAAGCACAGAAACAGTGGGACAAATGGTGAACCAATTCAGCAGCAATACTCACTAGACACTATGCTGGAAATGAGCTGTTCAACTTTCAAGGAGGGAAAAATGGGGAGAACAAGGGAGTGGGCGACACTGTTCAAAATGAAATGTACTCATTACCTGACTTATGTAATTGTAAGCCCTCTGTACATCACCCTTACAATAACATTTAAAAATAAAAATAATAAAAATACTTTTAAAAGGCTAAACATAGAGCTTCCTTATGACCCAGCAATTTCACTCCTGGGCATTTATCCAATAGAACATTTTTTTGTTAATTCTATATTTAGATTTGGATGCCTCCTGGATCTCAAAACAATGCTCTAGATGTGGAGAATAAGAGATCTTAGGTTATTTTTACATACAAAAGAGGACTCAGAAAGATCATAAGAATAAGGTGAAATAGTTTTCCAGCTGGAAGCTAATGAATCCTTTCCTTGATTTTTCTTTTATGTGGGTTTTGGATTGTGATCTGAGGAAATATATGTAGTGTAGTAACAGTATTCTATCTTATCCTCACGTCATGTCATACACTATATTTTATATCTAAAACGTAATGCCGGTTGGATGTAGAAGCCAGGAAGACAGTAGATGGTGCGGGGGTAACAGAAAGGTGCTGTTTTACATGAGGTGGTCAGAAAAGGCTTCCCTAGGAAGGTGATGTTTGGTCAAGAGATTTGGAATAAAACTAACATGACCAAGGCAGCTACTATGGTAAAAAAAAAAAAAAAAAATGTTCTAGGCATAGCAAAAAACTGGCACTTGGGATCTGGTCAGGTTCATTGTCCTCCCTGGTGGAGTGACCTCCTTACCCTCCCACCACCATAAGCACTGCTAGTATCAGTTCCTTGGCCTATGTGTCTAGCCAGGGTTTCCTACATACTACACAAGGACCTGAAGCCCTGGAATGGGTTTATTCAAAGAATAAACAAATCCAGTGTTACTGGAGTCATGGAAGACAGGTAGTAGAAACAGTTATGGATGGCCTTGTCTTGGTACCTGTTTGGTTTATCCATTCATTTATGAATAGATATTTGGTTTTAATATTCACATTCTAGCTATTGGGAATAATGTTTCTATAAACATTTTTTTTGCCAGTCATGGGGCTTGAACTCAGCCTGGATATTGTCCCTGAGCTCTTCAGCTCTACCACTTGAGCCACAGAGCTAATTCTGGTTTTCTGGTGATTAATTGGTGATAAGAGTCTGATGGATTTTCTTGCCTGGGCTGGCTTTGAACTGCAATCCTCAGATCTCAGCCTCCTGAGTATTTAGGATTACAGGTGTGAGCCACTGGCACCTGGCTTCTATGAACATTTGTATAGGAGGTTTGGTGTGTGCAGATTTTCGTTCCTTTTGGGTGTATACCCAAGAGAAAATTTCCTAGGTGTACATTTAATTTCCTGCAGAATTGCCAGATGCTTTTCTGTAGCAGCTAAACCCATTGCTGTTCCCACCAGTACTCTGAGCGAATTCCAATTTCTCTACATTTTCACCAATGCTTGTCTCAAGTTTTGATTATAGCATCCTAGTAGGTGTGAAGTGGTTTTGATTTGTATTCCTCTATGTAACTATGATGGCGAGCATCTTTCTATGGATTTCCAGACTCTTTGCTTATTTTTTTAGGAGCCTATTTAAATCCTTCCTTCATCTTTTTTTTTCTTTTTGTTATTTAGGTATAATATTTCTTTGTGTTTTCTAGACACAAGTGCTTAATCTCACACATGATTTGCAAATGTTTTCTCCCATTCTGAAGGTTGTCTTTTCTCCCTCCCTCCCTTCCCCTCTCTGTCTCTCTGTCTCTGTCTGTCTCTGTCTCTGTCTGTCTCTCCCTCTCTCTCTCTCTCTCTCTGCTGTCCCTCAGCTCTTCAGGTCAAGGCTAGCACTCTAACACTTGAGCCACGGCGCCACGTCTGGTTTTCTAGTGTTTAATTGGAGATAAGAGTCTCACAGACTTTCCTGCTCTGGCTGGCTTTGAACCGTGATCCTCAGATTTTAGCCTCCTGAGTAGCTAGGGTTACAGGCATGAGCCACAAACACCCAGCTGTCTTGTCTCTTGATGATATTCTTTGAAGCACAAATGATTTTAATTTTGGTGAACTTCAGTTTCTCTCTCTTTCCAATGGTTGCTTATGCTTTTGGTATCTTATCTAAACAAACACTAACTAAATCAGAGTTGTGAGATTTATACTTTGTATTCTTTTAAGAGTTTTATAATTTTTGTTAGTATTTTTCAACTCCCTCTAAACACAATTAGTATGATTTACTTAATTTTTCCCACAAAAAGAATAAATCAATCCTCATTGAAGAAATACCACCCATATTCAAATTATACAAATGAGAGTGATCAAAACAAATTGTTTGGTCTATAGTGACATTTTAATGTAATGCTACTCATTCTACAAATTTTTCTCTCTGTTTCTCACTGTTTTCTTTATAGACTAATAATTTTAGTTTGTATTCTAATTGGCTAAAATAAAAATAAACTTAGCCAAGCTGAAATTGTATTTTTCTAATCAAATTAGAATTATATGTAATATAAAAAATATTTATTCTGAGCAAATTTTAGAAGTACTTATTTACAAGCCATCTATTAATGTTATCTGTCATGTATCATATCTATCCCAAGTATTCACTAAAAGAAATTTTTCCCTGGTAATACAGAGCTCTGAAATAGTCTCTCAAGCTTGCTAGGTAGGTGTTCTACCACTTGAGCCATGACTCCAGCCATTTATTGTTTTAATTATTTTGGGGATAGGATCTTGTGTCCCAAGTCTGTTTTAGACCATGATCCTCCTATCTATCCCTCCTATATATAGATCATAGACTTGTGTCACCATGCCTGACTTGTTTGTTGAAATTGGATCTTACTAATAACTTTTTGCCTGGGCTGACCTCAAACTGTGGTCCTCCTGATCTCTGCCTCCTGAGAAGCTGTGAGTATGGTGTGTACCACCATGCCTCACTCTCATTATTAAAGCAATCTCTAAGCAACATTTCTTATTACTATTCAATTATTATATAATCTAGAAATGGCACTATTTTCCTTAAAATTGGACTTCAGTTATGAAAGCTGTAAATTTCCATGTAGAATAGTGATACTCATTAGACACTATGTGGAAAATGTGGAAAATGTACATCTCGTGGGTAGGGATGGGAGGAAAAAACTGGGAGAGAGTGAGACATGGTTCAAAAATAATTGTATTTATTGCCTGATACATGGAACTGTAACCCCTCTGTATAACACCCTGACAATTACAATAAAAATTAAATCTAAAAATAGTTCTCATGTAGAAAAATGTTAAAACACCAATTAAAAATAAACAGTTCTTTGGAATGAATTTTACGACCTTGACTTAATCTCCATCAATGAGAAAGTGAGTTGAATATGGCTTTATGTACATTTTTACTAGAAAAGACTCTTGAAACATTTCCCCTGAGAGCTTGGCCCATTGGTTTCTTAAGATTTTAGATACATAATTTGTGTTACTTTAAACTGAAGTCACAATTATGTACTGTAACCCCTCTGTACTTCTTTATAATAACAATAAAAAATAGAAAGCCAAAGTCATGAGTTTGGTGCTGGTAGATCATGCCTGCATCCTAGATGCTCAGGAAGCTGAGATCTGAGGATCAAAATTCAAAGCCAGCCCAGGGAGGAAAGTCTGTGAGACTCTTATCTCCAACTGTCTACCAAAAATCCAGATGCAACACTGTGGGCTTAATTGGTAGACGCTCCAGTACAAACACACACACACACACTCTCTCTCTCTCTCTGAAATCACTGCTATTACTGCTTTTTCCTTGCAGATTCCACTCTTTTTTGCTCTTCATGGGCCATCCTCCTTATGCAATTCGAGAAGTGAACATAAACAAGTTCTGCCGGACCATTAGTGAATTTGCACTAGAGTATCGCACCACCAGGGAAAGGGTTTTGCAGCAGAAACAAAAGCGGGCCAACCACAGAGAAAGAAATAAGACCAGAGGGAAGATGATCACTGACGTAAGTTTCACAAAAAAGTCCCTTGATGTTGTTGTTTTTTGTTTTGTTTTGTTTTTGTGGGTTTTTTTGTAAATAAGATCCACCATCAAACCTTCTCACAGTTTGGGTAGTTGTGCGATATGGAAAAAAAAATTCTCCTTAAAAAAAATGGACTTCCTCTATTTCTGAGAATATGTAATCTGTGACAAATCAAGGCCTAGGTCATGTAAAAATTAAGATTGTGTGGCTGGAGGAGAAATGCATAGTTTATGTTGGTGTGTTGTATGAAGTCTATATCACTTAAATATTTGATAACATTGGAAAAGGAAAAAATATCAAAGATAGCCTTGTGATCACAGGAAGACAAAGAGGTGTTAATTTGGAAATGCTTGAAGATTTCAATCACCATAACAATGTCATTCATTCAGTCACATGGACCACGCTTTGGGGGCATGTGAATAGAAATCTGACGTAACTGCTCCAAGATGTGATTTGATGAGCCCTTGACAGTTCTTCAAGTCACAGAATGTCAGGAAGCAAAGGTATTCAGGGAAACAGTGAATCCAGCAGTATTCTTATAGGACCATGAGATGCCTCTGGATACTTATATATTCATTCCCCCTGTTCCTGGGTTCTTAATCTCCTCCAGGTCAGGCTAGCCCTGAGCATAGTTAGTCCTTGGGTGCATAACACACTCAAAACAGGATATGCTCAGTATGTGGAGTGAAGAGAGGCACAAAAACAATAAAGAAAGCCAGAGCAGGTCCCCTTTTCCAATGTGCCTTTGTGAAACATGGAACCCCAGCCTGTTAGCTCTTTCTTTTCTAGTAAGCTTGAAGTTTAGTTGCAGAAAAAAGAAGAAAATTACCAGGAATACTCCTTTCTTCACATTTCTTCTTACTTAAACAGACTCAGAAAAAAAATAAAGTCATCTTTAATACTGACAGATCATATTTGGAACCTATTGAATGTCTCTTCAGTTTGTTTGTTTTTCATTGTTTGTATCCATGCTTGTGAACTTCTACCTGTGCAGGAATTGAAGCAGTACATGAGTTTTCACTGATAGAAGGAATAGAATTAGTCAAGGGTTAAGTAATGTGGGGTATTGTCACCCCTTGTGGTTTAAGCTTCATCTGAGCTCGTGTCAGGCAAATTTCTTTGAGGAGGAAGGAAAGCAATGAAGAAGACCTCGTGGAGGCCAGAGGTGTGTTCATGTTGTAGACAAAACAGAGGAAATGTGTTTATTTCTCTTTCACAGAGTCCACATTCCTGAGGGGTCTTTTCATAAGGAAACCCAGATGCACTGACTTAGACGTTTTGCTGTACTTTCAAGACAATTCTAAAGAAATCCATGGACTAATTGTTTCCTTACCACTCACCTCTACCCAAACCTCTTATTTCCTTGGACATTTCTGGAGCCTTAGAAGCACCAGAGTATCTCTCTCTCTCTCTCTTTCTCTCTCTCTCTCTCTTTTAAGAACCCTTCCTGCAGCTTCTGGAAGCTCTGAATGCCATGCCATTGGCTAAAAGTCTGATGTCTTCTCCCGATATTGGTTTCTGCAGGATCTTTATCCTCCTGGAGGGTTAAGGCAGCAAACTGAATCCACTTGGTCAAACTATGGCCTACACTTCATTCCCAAGTATTACTTTTAAACTATTTTTTAAAAGGACTCATTTATTTTTGTAGAAATGAGACACATTGTAGGGCAAAAGAACACAAGCTCAATATGCTTATAGTTAAGAAAACACATCAGAATTTCTTGCCAAATTCTTGAGATTGTTTTTAACAGATCCCACTAATTTTTAAATGGTGAGAATAGCTAACTTTCCTAGTCATAAATAGAGGTAAATATTTCTAGGTTTTGATTCGGTAATATTTAAGTTCACATTAAGATCTGGACAGTATGGACCTCTGGGTTCACATTTATGGTGTTTAAGAGGCTATAATGGCATTTATATAGAATGACTGCCATCTGCTGGAATAGTAGAATATTGTCACTAAGGCAAGCTGGCTTCAGATACTCCAACTCTCAATGGAGAAATTAGAAGATGTAAATAAAGCTTATAACCAAGGAAAGCTTATGCAAGGAAAGCTTATAACCAAGAATGTCAAAATTTGGGTGGAAAGTTACATACATACAACAGATCCCAAAGCCACAATCGATATAGATTAATGGAACCTCAAATATTGAGGTTTTAGAGAAGCCTATAATACATCATGTTTAATATAGATGCACTGAATAAAATGAGAATGAAGTGATAGCAGTTAAACTGAGATGAGACACCGAGGGTTAACTTTGAAGACATTATTTTGTAGAGTCAGGTTTGTATCAGCTCTAGGGAATTGTCTCTCCCCCATCCTTCCTGCTTGTAGTCACACACCGGACTTCACTTTCCTTGGTCCAGGAAGTACCAGGCAAGGCTCAATTAACCATCTTCATCTTTCTACTCCAAACTGGCTCAAGAGCGATAGTGACAGAGACGAAGCCGCTCTAAGCATCTATGCTCCTTTCTCCTGCTGTCCTAATCCAAATGGGCTGAGTGGGAAGTGTGAGGACTCCACTGTGCAGGGCAGTGAAGTCCCCTCACCTCCATCAACCTCAGCTGCTTCTATGGAATGGGGACACTGATTACTTTTAGGGCAATGGAGAAGGTGAAGGTTTTATAAGTACAACGTCGTGACATGTGCTGATTGCTGAAAAACTGGCAGCCATCCTGGTTAAATAAATAAGCCATAAGACCAAAAAAAAGAAGAAAAAAGGATAGTGAAGCAGTTCTGTTGTCTCTTGTCACAATGCCATTTGGGTGGAGTAGTGTGGAATGTGTGTGGTGCCCTGGAAGCTTTCTGACATTTTAACTTCCAAAAGTATCAAAGAAGTTGGGTCTGATATAATCTGGGTGGAAATACTTAAATTGAAGACACGTTTAATCTAAATCAAGAGATTGGGATGTCTTTTTCATCTTCCATTTGCATTTAGCAAAAGGCTATTTTATGTAATTTTAAATAATAAAGTGGCATCTGGCAAAGTAATTGCAAGCACAGAGAATCTGTCCCAGTGACAACCATGAAAGACAGGTGAAGTTTTATAAAGAGCTTAACTTCTCTGAGGAGAGAGTAACTTGATACATTCTGCTTGGGAGTTGTCTACTTGTCCTCTATGGCATGTGTGTAGATGATTAGGTATAGTCCAAGCCCAACAACCTGTCACGGAAGGGGATAACACTCAGGATGAGAGGGGACCGCAGCTGATGACAGAGCCAAGTGAATGGAGGCTGGTCCACTTACTGAGCTTTAGTAGCCAGCAGAAGGTGGAAGACCCAACAGAATATAGCCAGGCGTGTATCAGGATTCTGAACAGGGACTAAAATCAATAGTAGAGAAACCAGATAAGCTGATTGTTGGTCCTATGAGCATCCCTGGTAGGTTGTCCTGGAGCTCTTCCAGTCCTCACTGCCTCTGATCAGGGCTGGACTTGAAGCTCACAGAACAATTATCCAGATAAGGATAAGAGAGTAGGGCCTGGCAAGTCCCTGGTTTGTGGTGGCCAATTTCCCCTTTCAAGAATGTGATGTGATGTTGAGATCTCATCTGTGCTGACTTCTGTACCTTCTAAGAATCCTTCTTTTCCATCCTGTCCTGTCCTGTCCTGTTCTGTCCTGTTGGGTAGACCGATGACGAAGATGAAGTTGAGGTATGACCATTTATAAACTTGAAGAACACTGCATTTGACTTTCTCATGTGTGCTGTAGCATCTAACTTAATGTCGTCAGCATGAAGTATCAGCACCATTCAGAGCTTTAAACCATGCATGGACTTTTTTTAACTGGTTGATTTTTGTGTGGTCATTAATTACCTAATGAGTTGTCATCATGCTGTGTATGTCAGAGGTGAAGGGTTAACTGCATTTTCCAAGCCATCTGTGGCTCTAGGTGAATCATTAGCCCTGCCACTAGTGGCAGGTCCAGGGAATCTCTTCATATCTTTTTTTCCATCTCCCTTTCTGAGCCTTTTGTAAGTTAATTGTGAAAACAATTCTAAAATAGCTATATGTGTATGGTGGGCAAGGTGGTAAGAATCAAGGCTAGCCTAGACTACATAGCAAGATCTTGTCTCAATAACAAAATGAAGTAGAATAACTACATAAAGAATCCTAAAACTAAGAGGAAGTCAGTCAGCGATCAAGAGCCAGGCCAGAGCTATGGTCACTACCCATGGACAGAAATGTGCCCATTTCTTTTGACTAGGTCCTATGGCATGTGTGTAGAGCTGGGAGGGTTGGGGTTTCTCACCTTAGAACCAGAGATGAAACTGACGGGCTGACTGATCATGAAGAATGAGGAGGTCGAGTCACACAGCTTTGTATCCTAATCTCTGTTGGTGTGGCTGAAAAGAGGAAGGTAGGGATGGATTTATAGAGTTCTTGGTAGTTTGACTTAAGGAGTTTTGCCTGGATATTTGGCATCGTGTATATACAGTATTCTAATATACCTCTTCAATGCCTATTTGTCCAGGTAGAGTTAGAGAAAATCATCATGGGTTTGCAATGCATATGTATCTAAACAACTACATTTTTGACAAAACTGAAAATATTGAGTGTTGCTGAATTCCATTTGGACTTGAGTTTATGCATCATGTTCTGTTCTGCACCCTGGCATGTGGCCCACTTCAGTCTTTGGCCATTTAATCTTATAGGGCCTTAGTTTCCTTTTCTTCAAAATGAGGTCAGGCTAGCTAGACCTAGGCAAATTCTTCCAAGCTCTTAGCTGGAAAGATAAAGCTCAGGACATTTGATTAAGAAGGTGTATTTTAGCTCTAATTTCTGGACCTCAGTTTGAGGCTCAGGAACTCTGTCCTCAGAATTGCAATCTGTCACCTCTAGTGGACACCCAATGGGGAATCTGAACCTCTAAGAGAGACTCATGCCAGCAGACGGTTGATGGAGTTCCTTCTGGGGCAGTGGCTATTGTTTTGACAGTAGATCTGTGTACAGTTCTTTTGTCACCAGTCAATAACCTCATTAATTGTCAGAACGTGTGGATGTACAGAATGTATGCAAACCAAACAAATACACAAAAGGGAAAGTTTTCCATAGCTGAAAGTTTCCTAAGGTTGAGTTGCCTCTGGGAGATCAAATCTCCCTCATGTGCTTATTAACTTCCTTTGGTTTTGCAGTCTGGCAAATTCTCTGGCAATTCTCCAGTGCCCCCAAGCCAGCCGCAGGGTCTGAGCTATGCTGAAGATGCAGCTGAACATGAGAACATGAAGGCTGTGCTGAAAACCTCGTCCCCTGCTGTGGAGGATGCCACCCCTGTGCTTGTCCGCACTCGCAGCCGAGCAAGCCGAGGTAACTCCTATGCAGGGCTCCTCTTCTCCCTTGGTCACCCAAGGGAGCGGGTCGTCCAGTGAACCCATCATAGGGTGCAGGATAGTGTCCTCAGTGAATGGCTGTGATGCATTAGTAACTCTCCCTAGCTACCTTTCACTAGCTACCTTCAATAGCTTCAACTCAAAGAACACAACACTCCCCAAACAACCCTGCCTACCTTCTTCCTTTCTTCTCTCCCTACTCACTCCTTCCTTCCCTCTTTCTGTCCCCATTTCTTCCTTTTCTTCTTCTTTGTTTGTGTGTGTGTGTGTCTGTGTGTGTGTGGTACTAAGGAATGAAATCAGAGCCTTACATTGGCTAGTTAAGTACTCTACCTCTTGAGCCACACTCTCCAGTCCTTTTGCTTTTAGTGCAGTTTTTTAGCTAGGATCTTCTCTTAACTTTGCCCAGCTGGTCTCAGACCAATGTCTGAGCCCCGAGTGGCTGGGATTAAAGGTATATACCACAACTTGTGGCCTGTAGAAGGATTTCTTATTGTGAGTGAATTCTCATAGGCCCATGTTTGTAGATACAGATGTGGATATAGATATATTGCACCTTGTTCTATTTATTTGTCTCCTCTGTGGCTGCTTTACACTCCAATGACATAGTTGGCCAATTATGATAGAATTTATAGTTGACAGAGCCTAAAAAAATTACTTCACAAAAAAAAGTTGGCCAACTCCAGCACTGGCACACACAGACATACACACATACAAAGCCAGTGTTCCAAGAGAGTTTAAAGGAAATAAGGGAAGAAAATGAGGTGAGTTAGAAGCTGAAGAGAAATAGTATCATTAGATGCTGAGGGGTAGAGACAATCAGTCTAGAAAAAAAGCATAAAATATGAATGTAATTATTTTATGAGTAAAATAAAATAGTTTTGTAGTATTATAATATACAGAGAGAGAAATTACTTACCCCTTTAGGTACCAAGAGGCCTGAGATACCCTTGGTGTGAGTCTCTCTCTGCCTCCCAGCTCTTTTAGGCTTTGGGTAGTAGGCTCAGCATGGCCTTAGAACTGGCATGTGGTGATGCTAGCTATCAGATCTCAGTGGATGCAAGGCAAGAAGGTGGCAAGTTCTAGGGCAGCCCAAGAAAAGTTAGCAAAACCCAGTCTTAAAACCAAAGACGTGTTGTATTCATAAACTGATTTGTTATATGGCACCTCCTTTGTGCAACTACTTAAAGATGATTATAAATTTTAAAATATGTGAAGAATAAGTACAAAAGGACTAGGGGATATAACTCGATTCAGTTCCTAGTACTACAAAATATAAAATCACAAAATAAAAGTGAGAACTTACATAAGTAGTGAAAAGTACATGAATTAAACAGATTTTGAACTTATAAGAACAATCATATAGCCATTCTTGAACTACAAAATAAGATTTGCAATAAGGGCCTTAGTTGATAGATTTGATAGCAGATTTTTTCTAGCAAAATATGAATTTCAAGATTAGTAGAAAATTATAAAGTAAAGCATAATGAGAAAAAAATGGGAAAAGTATATATATATATTTACATACAGACATACATATTCACATATATTCACCATCATAGATTTCACAAGGATGTTGATATGTTCCAAAGGAATGGCTCTGGGTATATTAAATTAATTTCTTTTTTTCTTTTTTTTTATTGTGAAAATACCGTACAGAGGGGTTACAATTACATGAGCAAGGTAATGAGTACATTTCTTATCAAGCATTGTTGCCTCCTCCTTTGTTTCCCCTTCCCATCCCTTCCCATATCCCCACCCACCCACGTTCCCCCCCCCCACCTATCCCCCTCCCGCCCCCCCCCCTGCGCCAAAGTTGTAAAGTTCGTTTTTCGACATAATGTCTGGTACATCTCATTGTTGCAATGGGCCCACCTGTATCCCTATTTAAACAATTTGTTTTTTCCCTTCCCCTCCCCAAATTATACCAACATCAAATACAGTGAAAACAGGAGTTATACTGTGTGGGCGGGGCACACAAAGCAACAAAGAAATAATCTTATAAATATGTTAGAAACAATAGCAAGAAAGAAAAACCATTGAGTCCTTATCCTGGGGTTTAAATTAATTTCTAATTGATACTACCTGGGAACTCCTGATTTGGTAGTTGTTTCTTTTTGTTTGTCTAAAGTGAATACTTTTGATGCCAGATTTGGTCCACATTAACAGTTATTTATAAACGTATTTTTTCTCATCAAGAAGCAGGTGATTATTCCAAAGGAAAAAAATCATGTCAATTTCTTCATTTGATGGGTGGACAGGGCAATCCTAATACATTTTAAAAATTACTAGATAATCTCAAATCTCTGGATTTCTGTTTAACCTTTGAGAAGTTAGTACTAGTTGACATTTGGGATATCCCACCAATAATAGAAAGCTGACTCATTAACCCTTAGTGGGTCTCTACCATTACTGGAAGTACATAGTAGGGTATGGCACGGATCATCTGTTCTTGGGTATTTACAGGACCTGCCAGGTAAATACAACACATACAATGGAGAGGATAACATAATGAGATAAGAACACAGTTGTAGAACAGGACAGGATGACCAAAATGCTCCAGTACAGGTTTGTGCAGAGCATTTGGGTGGTAGCAGCCAGAGGTGGGGACATGTTAGCACCCTGGTTATGTTAACTGTGAAACTCTCCCTTTTGCTAGAATCCACAGCTGGCAGATCTCAGCTATTTAGAAGAAAAATGGTGTGTATTTTTATGTTGGGATTTGTCACTATGTCTTTTATACCATCTGGTTGTTGAACTTCTCAGGATCTACTAGTTCGTGGACTATGGGAACTGATGACTCACCTAATGTCACCGATGATGCAGCTGATGAGATCATGGACCGAATTGTTAAGTCGGCCACCCAAGTGCCCAGTCAGCGAGTCGTGCCGAGGGAGAGGAAGCGATCTCGGGCCAACCGCAAATCTCGTGAGTACATTTGGGGCTGGGTGAGGGAGGTACCTCCCTTTCCATTTGATATAATTTCAGAGAAGACCTACCAGCACTCCTCAAGGGAAGGTTTGAAGTTCACTATCCATGTGGCCAGTTGTGGAGAGAATTGCTGCCCCATCTGTCCATTCTACTTTCTGGGTAGCCAGACCTCTCTCAATACACACATGGCCTCTAGTAAACTCAGAAAGGCCCTTATAGGTCTCTAGTGTGCAGAGATGGGCAGAGGAGACACTGCCAAATGTGCTTCTGCAATTTGCTTAAAGATTGAATTTGTGCCCTTCATCCAAAACCAAAGGGCCATTTCTTGGGTTGGAGGCAGATTTCCTTGCAACATGTTAAAGGTAAAAATCAGAGCTAGCAAGCAGCATTTGTGATGCTTAAAATATTTAATGTTAACTCAGGCTGATCAGCATTTTAGCCTCTTGAAATTAGCTGTTCAAAATCATCAGTTAACCAGAGGATCTAACAAAGTCAAAGTGACTAGTGTCCCTTTAAGTCTAAGCCTGCTGCCTGCTCCTACCCCCTGAACTCACAGATATAATGTTACCTCTGTTGGCACTGTGCCAATTCTGGCAGGAGCCTCTCTCTGGAGAAACAGGATCTCTGTGGATCCTTTGGCATCTGCTTGCATTAGCTATGGCTCTTAGTGTTTGGGGAGAACCCCCTGATTTTGGTGGGTTACTGGGTCATGCAAGAGATAGCTTCAACTTTCCACTGACTTGGCCTGTAACAGCAAAGGATTACAAGTGAAGGAAAAAAGGAATGTGGTTGCCTCTCCTTACTTTGTCTCTCAGATAGACAGTAACCTCAGACAGGAAAAAAATTTCAGTAAGAACTCAAGTGCAGGGCACTTTCAGTTTATTCCACCTGTGAGATTTTCAGAGTAGGAAGCATGGACTGCAGTGTCTGACTTTGTTTTACTTGATGCATTGCCATGCTTGTTACTAGGGTAGAGAATACTACAACACATTCCTGCAGCCTGATGAACCTTTCTCCTTATACAGGATCTCCTTTTGACTCTGATGGAAGTTTTGCTCAAGAAAAAGAAGCCCTGGGGGTGAGCGTAGCATGGCAGGGAGGTCAGTTCTCATTAAGATGAGTGAGTTGAGTTTCTGACAAGCTCCTCTGTGAAAGTTGATGCTGCTGGTCTTTGCAACTTATCTGAGTGACAAGACTCTAGAGCTATGGTTCTCAACTTTGGATTCACACTAGAATAGTCTGTAGAGATTTTTTTAAACCCACATATATTGGCTAGAGCTATGAATTCATAACCTCATAGGTAGAGGTCAAGGTCTAGGCCCTAGTTCCTTTGGGGAATTAGTGTCACTGAAAAGTAGGATCTCTCTCCACTGTTTGTCTTACCTTCTGCCCTTGTAATCCTGCCACTTTTGAATAGAAAACTGCCATTCAAGCACCTTAACTTTCTACACTTTCAAGATTGTCTTTGTGGGCACCCATATTGGCATATATTTTGAATATCAATGCAGGAGATTTTGTTTCAAATGAAAAATTAGAATGTGTGTGGTTTCTAACACCTAGGGAAGCCTATTTAAGAAATCTTAGTTTTTAAAATGTAACTTGAAAGAGGCTTTCTTTAGATGATCAGTGGTTTGCCCTCAGTAACTATTGCCCTCTTATCTATTACGTCAATAATCCGGTAATCAGCCAGGCATTGCTGGCTCATGCCTGTAATCCTGCTACTCAAAAGACTGAGATCTGAGAGTTGCAGTTCAAAGCCAGCCCAAACAGGAAATTCCACGAGACTCTAATCTCCAGTTTACCACCAAGAAGCCAGAAGTGGTGCTGTGGCTCAAGTGGTAGAGAGCCAATCTTGAGCAAAATAGCTAACAGAGCTCTCAAGACCCTGAGTTCAAGCTGATGTACCAGCACAAAAATAATCAATAAATAAGATAAACTGGTAACCAAGTGAGAGGAGCCTTGCACCTGCTAACTCCTGGTTACTCTCCTGCTAACTTCTGTGGTGAACAGCCTCAGTGTCAGATGGCTATCATGGGGAGGAGCTGGGAAGAACTAGCAGGAGATGGAGAAAACGCTGACAGGGACCCCAGACCAGGAGATCACAGGGGACTGTGGCCCAACCATTCTTTGGAGGCCAAGTGTATGGGTTCCTACAAGTTACTGTGTGTGTTTGGGCCCACCCTCTGGTCTAGAAAAAAAACCAGATTCCTAGACCCATAATGTCACTGGGAACAATAACACAGTCATAATTAATTTTCCTCTTCAGTCTGGCAAAAGAGAGACTGTTTTTGTGGTTGACATAAAATAATTTCCTGTGGTATCATTTCCATTCCAATCTTATGCAAAACAGCCGTATATTCTTTTTATTTAGCCAAACACATTTTTTCCCGTGACACAGTTACTATAACAAATACAGTCCCGCACGCATGTAAGTATTTATCTGTAACGAGTTTAATTTATTAGTTAGTAATGGCCCTATCAGCAGAAATTTAAGAGAGGGGATATTAGACTTTGATTTCCATTTTCAAAAGATGATAAACTCCAGCTTTTCACAAGAAGTTAAAGTAATAAGGGGGTTGGGTGAGGGGAAGAAACAATTTACAAAATCAAAGTGAAGTTTAGAACTTTGGGCCTCAACATAAACAATGTTGTGTTTGATTTGATTGTTTAATGGTGCCAATGAGGCAAGTAGATAATGAATAGCCAACATATTTGGTCCATAACTCATTTGGCTGAAGACAATTACGGTCCAGCGAGTCCTAAAGTAAGGAAATGAAATAGAATCCATCTTACAACCTGGAAATCAATGGTCCTTAGGCCATTCAAAGGTCCCCAAGAGAATGTCTGCTTCTACATGTGATGCTGGTCATGAGGCCTTTTCTTGTCAGGTGTCCTACTACCACTTGGCATTTTGGAGTATGCCAAGGGAGCATCCATTTTCAGGGTCTCATGGCTGTTTTGCTGCTTTGCCAGCTAGTTTCAGTCAGTGTCTCATTAAGTAAAATGTTCTAAATTTGAGAAGCCTGGCACCTGGTCATTCTAGCTCACCTCATGTGCTCCCCCAGATTCCAGCAGTCAAGGTTCTCGGGTCAGTTGGTGGCTTTGACACAGGGAGAATATTCTTTGAGCTCTCAGATTCTTTTTCTCTTATTTTGGTTCTTTTTTCATCATTTTGGAGCATATGTTTTGTTCTAGGACTGATTGCCCTCTCACGTTTCCTGGATATGGGCCTTGCCTAGAACATGCTGAAGTTTAATGGTGTTGGAGGATCTTTCCTAGTGTGCTGATGCAGGACTAACTGTGGTAGGGGGAGAGGAGAAGATGCACAGCCCTGTCCTTCCTGTCCTTTCCATTCTTAGACTCATCTTTGGAAGATGTGCCTAGCTGACTGCCTGCATATTGCCATGTATTCACCTTGTCAAAAAACAGAGTCAGGGATTAGAGACGTATAGACCTTCTTTCTCTTTTCCAGTGGAGCCCAGGCTTACTAAGGTTGAGAGAGAGACTGGGGAAAACTTTTTGAGTTTTCTTTTTGAAGGAGGGAGATGTTTTATGCCCCCCATTGGTGATGTGAGCATGGAGTTTGGGCCTCTGGGCCTTGTTTCTCTAAAGATGTCATCACTTTGACATGTCCCACACAGAGCTGGGACTGGGTTGGTCTCCCATCTGAGAATAGTTCCCAATGAGAAGGTTTGAGTGGCTGGGGAAAGGAATGAAAGGTTTTGATTGTGCACTGTGGTTCCTACCCCTTCATACGGTGACAACCTCCTCATCGTTTATGTTGTTGTGAGTGTGGACATTCTCTGGAAGGACATAATACATAATTCGCCTTTCTTTGATACAGCTAAAATCCTTTTCAACGAGAGATGTAATCATGCTATCTGTTAAGTATTTCCTGGAGACATAATGAATCTTAAAACTATTGAATCTATTTTAGAGAAAATAGGAGCCATGTCTCACAAAATATTGGATTCAGTCCTGGACCTGATCCATATACAACATAATTCATTTATCTTCAGTTTTCCAAAGTGTCACTTGAAAATATCCAAAGCTTTCACCCTCCCCCACTAATCCTATTAAGAGAATTTCCTGCATTATATTTAAATAGTTTTTCCTTACATACCCTAAGCCAATTCCACATTCTCTTATAGAGCAAGTTAATAGTGGCAATAGGCCCAGAACCCTTAAACTTAGTGCTTTTGGAACAAAATAAGACGGTTAAAAGACCAGTTTCTCAATCAAGCTCTCCTTCTCAATGATATTGTCATTCGTGTTAAGTTAGCAATTAATGATTTCTAGAGCTTATTAAAGATGGACTGATCCCTCCTCCAATGACTGCTGAATGCACCTAGCCATGAGCACAGGACATGGGACAGATGAGTGGAACAATTCAAGATAGAATCAAAGGCCTCCTCCATGAGCCCAGATGGAGGGGCACTGAATTTTAGAGAACAGGGCTAGGCCAGAGGCAGTTCCAATGTGATAACAAGTCAGGAACTCGGGCTCAGGTGAAAGCCTCAAGGATAGAAAGAGGAACATAGTGAAAATTTGACGTTTCACCTCATAGGAGAGCTCACTGTTCGTTTGGTTTTCAGATGAATCTCTCTTCCAACTGGGGAACTGGCACACTGGAAAAGTGAGTTGGCCTTCCACTTCTCCACCATGTCTGTTTGTATGCCAGACACCCATTTGGCCCAGAGGACAGGCTTAGGAGAGAAGAGCAATGAAAAGAGGAATCTGAGAATCTGTCCTGCATGCCTCCAAGAGCTATTCTGAAGTCACAAAAAGAGAGTTCCTGCAGGAGATGTTACAGTAATTTGTTGTCCTTTCTGCCAAGTTCAAATGCAAGCCATTTCTGTGTTTAGAAAGTTGCACACATATCGAACAGAAAGGGAGACACCATCCCATATAGATCATTTATTCTTACTGAGCCTCAGTCTTCAATGCAATGTGACAGACTCCTAGAATGCTGGTGAGGAGATTCTTGTCCAAAGGCA